AGCAGGAATCCAGAGCATGCTTGAATCCTCAGGCAGGCAGGATGGTGAGGAAGTGCTTGGGCAGATGAGGATAGAGTCAAGGAATATATGAGGTCCAGACAGCCCTCGATGAAGAGAAGACCCTCCAATCACCTTGCAACCAGTCCCTCTGTCTACAAGCTCATTAACGAAGAGCTCCCCCGAGTCCAGCTCTGATCCTCACATCAGATTTGTAGCCTGGTTGTCACCATAGACTTCAGCTTAAGTAACCAAATCAAGGCACCTAAGGCCACCTAACCCAAGTAATTTTTCTAAAATAAAAACCTCATCATGTCCCTCTTTTGATTAAATGGTCAAGGATGACCCAGTTGTCTCTAGTCAAAAGATTTTAGGCAGCATGATCTAGTTTTCAGATGAAATTGATTGTTTGCCTCTAATACATAAAGTGGGTAAAGGTGCAATGACTCTATTGCAACAGCAGGTAAGTGGAAGGTCCAGATTGCTGTCTGCTCAGGCTCTCCCTCTCAGGTAGCCCAAATAGTCAAGAATTTAGGATAAACGATCATTTAAAATTTGACTCAAAGTTTTTAGGAACCCCCATATCAGTAGAATGAGGGAAAGGAAGGGAAAGGAAGGAATGAGGGAAAGGAAGGGAAAGGAAGGAATGAGGGAAAGGGTGAGGGAAAGGAAGGAAACTAAAATGTATTTTCAATGTACTACCTGTCAAACATTATTTGCATTATTACAGTAAATAGCTCTATGAAATTCTTATGGTTAACTCTATTTTACAGGTTAAAAAAAAAGAGATGAGGCTCAAAAATATTAAATAACATACCCATGGTTCAAAGGCCAGTGCCCCAACTCCAAGACCCATCTTCTTCCAGCTTCTGTGCATGCAAAGACATGAAACTGACACATAGACAAGGGTGGAGGAAGGGAGGGAGGGCTGGAAGCGCCCCCAGAGCAACAGAGCAACTCATACTGTTTGCAGGTGTGGCTCTCTGAAGAGGTGATGTTTGCACAACCTGGGCAACAGGGTTCCAAAGGATATAATTTTGGAAGCCATTAATCTATAGGCTAAAGTACACAACCCAGCAAGTAAAGCTCTTAATGCTCTGGACCCTCCTTTCCTTTCTGTTCAGTTAGTGTCCCACTTCTTGCTTTTATGCAATAGTATGGCTACTCTGTTTCCAGAAAAGATCAAGCCCTTTCACATCTCCATGCCTATGCATGTGTTCTGCTTCCCTCTACCTAGAATGCCTGTTTCCCTCTCACCCCCTGACTAACTCGCACTGTGTTTTGGAGCCTTAGTCTTGTTTTATCTGTAACATGGGATTAACAGCAAGGAACTCAAAGAAATAATGTGTTGGAATAATGAAAATAATATGTTTGATGGATGAGAGGTTGAGAATAAATCTTAATTCCCTTCCTTTCTCTCATATCATCCCACTTGTATCATTCATTCCTTAAGGGCAAAGAAGTATCTTAATCTTTGAATTCACAAAACCCTGCACCTAACAGGTACTCAGTGAAAAATTAATGTCATTAAAATGGTCATTTCAAAGTTACTGCAAGAAGGGAGTTTCTGTTGGGATAAATAATTTTTCATTATTGAAACAGTAATTCATTGATGATTTTGGATCAATACAATAGAACAATGTTTTCCAACCTTTGAAAATTATTTGTAATATTTTAGTGGGGGCCATTCAAAGAAGGAGCATAATTTTGCCCATCCCACAGATCTGGGCTTCAATAGCTCACACTCTTAGATAGGAGGGACACGATTAAGCAAGAGTCACATATATACACAATACTCTCCTTTGTCACAACCAGGCAAGTTAAATAATTTCCTCTAATAAGTGGGATGAAATAACTAGACTATATGGAGTTGCTTCTTCATCATGTGGCTTACCTTGCAATGTTTCACATCCTCACATACACACCAGCCATCATCTCTCCCCTCTTCGTCAAGTTCACCACTGCTCCCAAGCTCAGATAAAATGAGTTCAGGGAAAACAGAAAACCAGGAAAGGTAGCACTTGGATATTAATCCTTGGAGGTCTGATGCTCATAAATGCAAATACACACTTGAAGATGTACTGAGACCATCTGGTCCAGTCTCCTCTGAAACCCAGGGGGAGTAACAGAGCCAGGACTAGATTCCTGACTTCCACTGTCAAGTTCCTGTGGTTCGTTTTCATTGATGACTTTATCCTGGGAGCAGACTCCCACACCCGACCCATTTGCTTGCTGCTAACCTGGCCTCCCAGGTACTCTCTCTCCAGGAGTGAAAGGAGAGAGACTTTTGTCTCAACCACAACTCATTAATTCACTGAGCAAATACTTTTTGAGCACTTACAAGATGTCAGGCACTGTGTAGGTGCTGAGGATAAAGAGTGAACCAGCAAACACTGAGATTACACTCTATCCAGGGTGACAGATATAGAAAAATAAATACAAGCATGGTGTTATGAGAAATACAGGAAACTGTGGCAACATTTCATAGGAGATACAAGGATTCAGAGCAAAGAAGTAGGGACAGGCATTAGAAAAGAAAAGGAGCTGATCCTTCTCCAACACAGGAAGTCACAAAGGATGGTTGCAGGCATGAGTAGACTTGGTGATAGGAAGTGGAATACTTTACACTTGACGGATGCTGTTTATCCCATGAAGCAAGGGCAGTATCATCTATCTAGAGGCAGCAGCAAGTGTTTCAGAGGTTCAAGAGAGGAGGAAAGGCATGATGTGTTTGCACAGTAAATTCAGAGAAGTATACAGGATTGCCAAGCAGTATTTTGGGCTCAACCAGGTGGATGATTATGATCTTAAGATAATGCCAACTTTCTAAAGGATCTGTTTTTGTTTTGTTTTTAATTTTCATAGCAGCTAGGCATAGCAGGGCAGATTCAGCCAGGGTTTGGCTTTTGTCCGTCAAGTGCATTAACAAGCCGAAGGGGCAAGAAAGTTTATTATATTGGCCAAAGAGTGGTTGAAATGGTGAACTAAGAAAAGCAAACTAGGAAAGGTTGCTGGTGGGCAAGGCGCTAGTAGATTCCAGTGGATATAATGAAGCAAGTTGGAAACAAGGAACTGTGATCAAAGAAAGAGGTGGCTGGATTCATGGTCTCAGAGTTAGGAGACCTGGCTTCTAGTTCAGACTCTGCAGGACTCGGAGCATCTCCTTCATCTTCTCTGGCTTTCAGTTTTGTCATCCATATGTGGAGGGTAAATAGTGGCCTGAAATCCTTTCCAGCTGGGCCTTTCTATGAGGTTACATTGCTGGTCAATGTTTTAGGCACTTTGGGATCTGAGTCAGATACACTGAGCCTTTGATTGTGGCCCAAGTGTGCTTGGATTATTGGTCCCAAACCTGTTGATAGAGTTTTCAGAAACTCCTTCATATGTTCGGGTGACCCAACATTTGTGGCTTTAGATTTTTATCTCAAGCATGCGTTGGATTCCTCCAGAAACCCTAAATTCAATCCCGAAGTTGTGCCATTATAAACTCCCTTATAAATCACGATCTTCTCATCTTTATGGAAATAATTCCAGGGCTTATGGAGGGGAGGGATGCTCTGGAAAGATACTCATGAACATCCAATAGTGACCCAGTGTGACAAAGTGACAGAGTGACGGAGCCACTTGAATGTGGGAAATTGTCATCATAACCACCTGGTTGAGAACAGCTTTCACATGATTGTGGTTTATTCCCTTGAGTTAGGTGCAGGATATATATAAAAGACGTCAGATCACACTATCTCCTCATTGCATTTGACATATCATCACTTGCCCAAGGTTAGAAGAACAAAGTGAGTGTCCTCATTGATCTGATGGCAGTTTGGGGGTGGCCGGGACTGCCACACATCAGCTGAATGGGACAGGTTGGAGAGAATGGGAACTACCTGGTAATTGCAGGAAGATAAGGCTCATGGAGATCATTGGGGTGGCTCAGAAGTAGCAATCCTGGGGGGATAAATGGTAACCAGAGATTGGGCCAGTGGTGGGGGCTAATTTGTAGGATAAGAGACAGCCACACAGGGCTGAAGGCAAAGCCCATGATGTAAGAATGAAAAGAAGGGAGATGATGAAAACAGGTGGAGTGACCATGGGCTGAGGCTAAACATGTGGTTTCTAGAATGCATAAACCAGATAATGTTATAAAAAAAACTTAAGATTTTTTTTTTTTTTTTTTTTTTTTGCAGTACGCGGGCCTCTCACTGCTGTGGCTTCTCCCGTTGCGGAGCACAGGCTCCGGACATGCAGGCTCAGTGGCCGTGGCTCACGGGCTCAGCCGCTCCGTGGCATGTGGGATCTTCCCGGACCGGGGCACCAACCCGTGTCCCCTGCATCAGCAGGTGTACTCTCAACCACTAGCGCCACCAGGGAAGCCCCCCAAAAACTTAAGAATTTTGAAACTGCCTAGTGCCCTATGTTACTGCCTTTAAAGTCAGGAGTCGTAGGAGAACCAGGACAGGTAGGAGAAGGTGTTACCAAAGTCTAACTTACCAACTGCCTGATTTCTCCTATGCCAGGAAAGTAGGGCTACTCTGCTGTAAAGACATGGGCCCTGGAACCACAAAATCATTTACAGAACTTCAGACTCTGTAGGAAAAAAACTGATAGAAATGAGATTTATAATCACTGAACTTTTGAAATATCTGCATTGCTTTATAGAGCAACTGAACATTCTCCAAAATGTCCTGCCAACAAAACCAACAGAAGTGCCAGCTCCCTGCCAAGTGCCTCCCCAAATATCCACCCAAGCACCCCACAAAGGCTCCTCAGGCCCTGGCTCCATGCCCCCATCCTACCCCCTCCTGCTGTGTCCCCAGCTGCTGTATTTCTGGCTTTGGAAGCTGCTGCTCTCTGGTGTCCCACCGGTTTCCAAGTGTCTACCTATGCCAGCCCCAGCCTTCCAACTGCTGTGAGGTGGAGCTCTCTGGATGTTCCAGTTGCTGCCATGGTTTTGGGGCTACAGCTGATCTGCAACCTTGGAGGAGCAAAAGAGCCACAGCCAAAGACCAGTCTGGAGTTGACGTCACTTCTCACTCTCGGTTTTATTCGTCCCTCTCCTCCTGAATTAAGCTGCCTAGATGTGTACATGATGGATTCCTCTTTTTCCTGAAAATCTCACACTTCCTGACCTTCGCTCTGGTCCTAGGTCAATAAGACCTGAACGCTGGAGAAAACTCTACTTTCCAAAGCCTTATCAGTGTGCACAAATAAAGCCTATCTTTCCTGGCACCCAAAACTTCTTAGAGTTTGTTGATTTCCCCCATCCTCAGCTTTGAGGAGTTTCCAGGAACCTGGATTTCTTAAGCAGATTCCCACAAATAGCCACCAGATGGGAAATTCTCTCTAGGTAGACCCTGGGTCTGAGCAGCCTGAGAGGGCTGTGAAAAAAATATCCAGAGGGGAATAAGAAGGGGATGTTCCCAAAGTATCAGTGACCCTGTTCCACTGCTATTGCCACATTTGCCA